TCTGCAAGAGTTGTTTCCACGGCTAGAACCCGTGACCTCATGGTCACATGACAACAACTTTTTCCTTCTTGTAATTTCAAGATTATTTACTTAAAACAAGCATATATAGTGATAGCAAAGCTCACCTTTGGAGCTGGTGGAGGAGAAGATGAAACCATGTCTGCAGATCAAAGAAACACAGAGCAAGAATGTGCAAGTTCTTGAGCAACAAGAGCATGTATTTGTACTAGTTCTTGCCACTAATATTTGAGTGGAATAAAGGTTAAAGAAGTCACTTTTACTGGCTGCTTTTCCTATTAGTAATATATCTAATTGACTAAAAAGTGTAACTAACATCTATACACTGAAGGTCAGTTTGGTTTACAAACAAAATTATATTGGGATTATAATGTATTTATTATAATACTGAAATTGATAATCCATGTACAAATTCGTATTTATGATTTGTTTGGTTCATTGCATTGAAAATGAAACATACAGTGAGAATACTTTTAAATATGCCCTTGGTTTTAAAATTTATAAATTTAAATAAATTTATACTTTCAATTTTAACCTTTACCTTCTTAATAATTTTGGGAAAATGGCTTTGGTAGAAAGGACATTTTGTTAATTAACTTGCTTGTAGCTGTAGCGAAGCCAGAAATTTTACAAAGGTATTCAAGATTTAATATATATCTATAAAATGTAATTTTTGATCTATATATATAATATAATTTTTTATATACTCAGTGTAATATTCTGATGAAGGGTGTTCAGTTAAACACCCTTCGTTCTATGTGGCTACGCCACTGATTTTATGGATTGTTATCCAATATTGGATGTGGTATTATATGAAGATTCTAGTAAAAAATTATACCGGAATTACCTATACTGAAAATAATTATGCAACCAAACAAATGATAAAATTCCAAACGACTCAACGAGTCCTCAGAGTGTAAATTTTTCTTTTACACTATTTTATTTCCTAAAAGATAACTATAGCTAATTAAAAGGGCAGCCTAATGCACTAAGCTTCTACTATCTGCGGGGCTCGGGAAAGGATCAGACCACAAGGGTCTATCGTATGCAATCTTACCCTGCATTTCTGCGAGAGGTTGTTTCTACATAACTATAGCTAATTGTTCATAAAAAACTGAATTAATAACCTATAAAATAAGACAATTTATCTGCTATAATACATTAAAGACGTAAAATGAAAAAAACTCTTTATATTATCAGTATATGTAAGGTAAATTTATAAAGAAAATGCCACGAGATGGTACATCATTTAAGTTTTATGTACCTAATATTAGTCACACTACCAACTACCAAAAAAAGAGGAAAAGTTCTTTTCCAAACAGCATTTGCTACGAGAGCCAATAAATCACTCTTTTCCTTCTTTAGGGGTGGGGTATTGCCTAAATAAGTTGATCAAAGGGCCATATCTTTCTTTAATTAATGGTTCAATTAATTGAAGGTCAAGATTCTTAAACCGCATTTAATTTTTTTTTTATGCAAAAGAAACTATAAAGCTACATGGTCATTTTCATTTTAAGACAAGTGGGGAATTTCAAAAATTTCAGGACTTGACTAATGATGGAAAATTTTAATTGGTAGGTAGTTTGTGCCTATCTTGGCATCATTACAATAGTTAGCTTTATTGATAGGCAACTTTACCATATAACTATAAAAGAGAAGAAGATGTATGTTCATTAAAGGATGTGGCATTTTTTAGGGAGTTCCCCAATTAGCTTGGATCTACAATCACGATTGTAAAAAAAGTAGTTCGATGCACAAAATATTCTGTATTTATGTAGGTTCGGGGTAAGGGCTACACCCTTACGGGTATAATATAGATAGCCAACCCTAATGCAAGAATTAGTGTCTGCTTCCACGGCTCGAACCCGTAATCTATAGGTCACACGGAGACAACTTCACCGTTGCTCCAAGGCTCCCTTCAATTGATAAAAATGTAGCATGGAGGTTAATTTGACTATAAATTATTAGTGTATGTAAAGTATATGTTCAACCACGAGCGCCACACTAGCAAAAAGAAAGAAGGAAAAAGCAAAGAACTTGCCACTATTAGAGGCTAGGAAAGCAAAACAATAGTAATAATTATAATAATAGTAATAATAATATATTAATCTCCACCATATCAATATCCTTAGACAAAATAAGAAGAGAATAAAACAGATATACAAAAAGAAAAGGAATAAAGCCAGGGGTTCTTATGTAAAAATTCATTGACAGATATCATAAGAAAGAAAAAACCATTGCTCAAATTTATTGAAAGTCATTTCAGACATGCATGACAAGTACTAAGAACCACCAAAAAGATCAATCACGTAAAGCAAAAACAGCTCGCATGCGAAAAGAAAGAAACGAAAGGGGGGAGCAGAAACAACCAAGTATATATATATATAGTTTGGCAGGAGAAGATTTAGGAATAGACACGTTCTTAACGGTCGATGAAGTGAATGAAAATTAGAAGAAATCAGAAATTTTGGTAGAAAATAAAAAAGCTAGATATTGTTTTCTAGTTTCACTAAGCTTGAATAGGCAAAATTATTTGATACTATGCTAGTTGATGGCAGAAAGGGGAACCTTGAAGTAACGGTAAAGTTGTCTTCGTGTGACCTATTAGGTCACGGGTTCGAGCCGGCGGAAGCAGCCATTAATGCTTGTATTAGGGTAAGCTGTCTACATCATACTTCCTGGGTAAAGCCCGTCCCTTAACACTGCATGAACACAGGATGCCTTGTACACTAGACTGCCCTTGTGCTAGCAGGTGGTAGTGGCGAAGCCCAAAGTCATACAATGAGATTCTAAGAAAACTAAAGTGTCACATCTAATATATAACCAAAAAAATCATTTTTCCTTATTTGTGTAGTACGATTTTCCATTGAGGGGATTCAATTGAACCCCCTTGCCTTCCTTTACCTCCGTACGTCCTCGACTGGTGGGAAGTAACAAGTACTCTAAAATAACTAAAAGTGCGTGCAAGTCGGCCCAAATGCTATTAACAGAAAAAGAAAAGAAAGAAGGATAATAGTAACAACCTTTGGCAATGGCAGATGGTTTTCTGTAGTAGTTGAGCCCATTGCAGTAGAAGATAAAGAGTAAATATTCCAACTGAATTTTCTTCAGCTTTTCTCTCTTGTTTCTTTGTCATAACTCACAGATTTATTATGATGCTCTTGTTCCAATGAGGTGTCCAACTCCAGTGTATAGAAAGTTGGTAGTATTAACTCACACCCTTTAATATTTAATGCCAGTTTCATCCAACAGAAACTAACTGAAATGTGTCATCACCAAACAGGATATTTGAGGGGTCAACCTTTAACTAATAACAACTCACTGTTTTAAACACTAAACTCTATAGTAATGAATATTGAATGGAATTTGGGTCTAGAGAAATGTAATTATTGACCAGAAAAGCTGCAATGTGACAACTCGATACACGAAGCATTCCGTATTCATGCAGGGTCCGGGGAAGGGTCGCACCTCAAAGAGTGTGAAGTATGCAGTCTACCCTGATGCAAGCATCAATGGCTGATTCTACGGCTCGAACCTATGACCTATAGGTCATACGGAAACAACTTTACCGTTACTCCAAGCCTCCCCTTCCTTCACATTTCGGTTAATCATCTCCTCTCTTTTTTTTTTTTTGGTATAAGAATCCAACATGTGAAAGGAGTAAACTTTGTGACTTGGTTTTATAAAAAAGGTGGGACATTTACATTCATCATGTTCAATGTTGTTACTATATCACATTAGTACTTTCTGTATTTCAAATTCAAATCCTAGCGACTCATATATCACGCTGTTCTAGCCACAGCTTATATAATAATCTTATACTCCCTTAAGTCCTTTTTATCTGAAAACTATTTGATAGTATTAATCATGAGAGGTATTTGATCAAATTATTCTTACTATATGCTTTCTTAGAGTAGTGAGAATCCGTAAAAATTGCACGGGGCGCCCTATTTGGGCGCCCCTTTTTAACCTGTAGCCGTTTTGTCTTTTTTTTTGCATCCGTACCTACTTTTTAAAAAACTTCAGCTTCCCTTTATAACTGGGAAACTTTAGCTCTAGAGCTGAAGTTTCCGGGTTACTAAACAAAAACTTCGGCTCTAGAGCTGAAGTTTTTATTTTATTACTAGCAAACTTCAGCTCTAGAGCTGAAATTTTCGGGTTACTAAACAAAAACTTCAGCTCTAAAGCTGAAGTTTTTATTTTATAACTTGAAAACTTCAGCTCTAGAGCTGAAGTTTTTATTTTATAACTGGCAAACTTCAGCTCTAGAGCTGAAGTTTGCGAGTTAAAAAAAAAGCTTCGGCTCTAGAGCTGAACTTCAGGCCGGCTACTAAAATGCTGAAGTTTTGTGTAATTGCCTTTGCTACTTCAGCCCCGTGTACGCTTGCAATTTTTTTTGGAAAGCAGGCACAGGTTAAAATGTGGCACAAAAAGCGAGTATAGATGCAAATGCCCTGAGAATCCAAATAGAGAAAATATTAAATACCTTCTTGATTTTTGAAAATAGACAAAGTTTTATAACAATATTTTTTATTTGGCTTAAGTAACAGATAAAAAGGATCAGAGAGAGTAGGGCTTCTTTTTGGTCTGTCCTAGTTTTAATTCTTAACATCATTTGGATGGACTCAAATCCTTTTGATTATGCACCCAAGCCATCCCTTTTGGTGCAGTGTGCAACACATGGCATGTAGCAACTCTTAAAACCAGCACACCTTAGAATAAGTAAAAAGGTGTGACATGTTCCAGCAACATGTCACAAACACCCCTAAGTTAGGCCTTCATAAGTGGATCTAGAATTTAAACTGTGGGTCCAACCTATGGAATTTTTAGCATTGAACCTACTGTATTTTTAAAGGTATGGGTTCATTCCTACTGTTTATTGCAGTTTTCGTAATTTTCTATATATAAATTTATGTTCCGCGTGGAGCCCTCAAGGTGAAGGTTTGGATTTGGGGAGGAAGAGTAATGATCATAGCTACCAATTACTTTCAACTGGAGCTAATTAGTTTTAAATCCTCTCTATTCTGTAAGTACCCTTCTACATGAAAAATGAGTTCAAAATTCGATAGCTGACAGTAGGAATTTCGGCTGCTTCAGTCTGATTGCAATTTCTACAATGACTTGTTGTCTAATTCATTGTCATGTTCAATTTATGAAGCCTCCTCATGACATGTTTGGCAGTCCTCGTGAAGAAGCCTGTCCCTGAGACATAACTTGTGCCCGTCTAGTACCTCCGCTTGATGCTTGATTCACACATGTCCCAACTATTGGTTGCTGCTGCTCTGTTTGCTGCATTTGCGGTACCTGCTGTTGCTGCTGTATTTGTGGAGTCTGTTGCCGAAGTAATTTGGGAATCTTTGGATGTTGTTGCAGAGGAATGTTACGTTTTCGCTTTAGTGGCATCAAATGCTGCTGTTGCTGCAGCTGTTGAAGGGGTTGCTGCTGCTGTAGCCGTGAAAGGGCTCGCTGCTGCTGTAATAGGGGAAGCGATTGTTGCAGCAGCAGTTGCTCTAGCTGTGGATGTTGTGCTTCCAACTGCTGATTGAGTTTCTGCGGCTTAAACACCACCGTATTCTGAAAAAGCGAATGTCCATGCATTTGAGAGATCATAAAATTTACAGCTGCATCTAAATGATCGTATAATAGGTGTTGCTAAGAATGTCAAAGATTTTCTTACCTCAGGAAACAGCATTCCAATTAAGCGGCAGGTTTTATCAGAAACAGAGAGAATCATTGTCTGTGATGGTAGTTGAATTACTGCACACTAAACAGTTTACAGAGAGAAAAATTGTCAGCTGAGCAGACCTTTTTACATTGAGAAAGCTGCACAGGAATTCCTTATCAAGTACAGCATGTATTATACATATAGAATCGCGAAACACCAGTCCCTCGAAACATCCACCATGATCGCCTACCCTCTCATTAAAGGAAATAAAAGAGAAATATGGTAAAGAGCAGAGTTGCACAATATGTTCAGTAGATAGTTCAGAAAACAGCATGCAAATGCACATGTTGGGAAAGTAAGTTCAAATTCCCACCGAAAAATACCAGAGAAATGCGATTAGACCTTGAAAATTTCAAGAGTGAGTGAATTCAAATGCATACATTGTAAAGTACAATTGCCACAGGGGAAAAGAGATCAGTTCATCAGACAAATTCTACTAGTCAGGAAAAAAGGACAAATACTACTGGAACCAGGTAGTTTTTCTTAAGGAGTGAGAAACTAACTACGCACATGAATGTCATAATGATCTAACTCATTAATTCGCAATATCCTGATATAAAATTAAACTGCTAGACTTGGTAAGGTGTTAAGCAAGAAAAAAGCAACCAATCATGTGCCATTCATTTTTTTTAACATCTCTAGCTGTCTGCGGATTCTGTATATGTAATGTCAAACACCAGAGTGTTTCCTTTGATCACCAATCAATAATTATTCTGACTTTGTCAAATTCCAACAGTTTCTGCATTAACACGCTCTTTGTGCCCCCTCCCTAAACCCATTTGTGAGGTAGAAAAAAATAAACAGGAGGACTGATATATATGATTGAACCTTGAACCTAACTCAACCTCGAAAAGCTCACTCATGAGGTAGAGGATTGTCCAAAACCATATAAGGAGACAACTTATTCTCAATAAATTTGGGAAACTCTTAACACCCACCGCAGGCTCATGGCTAGACAGCTGGAGCGTAGACAATATTACATGGGGTCCACATTGGATAAACCAAGAATTGAGATGGGTCTGCTCTGACACCATGTAAAGAAAATGAATTTGGGGTCTAACTCAACCCCAAAATTTAACTCATGAGGTGAGAATTGTCCAAAATATATAAGGAGAAAACAATTAATTCCCTCAACCAATATGTGACACTCTAAAAATAAAGATAGAAAAACACAATGACAAAACCTGAAACACTATACAGGTGTGGTACGAGAGTGTACCACAACTTCACGTGATGTGGTAGTGCATAAAGATATTCTAGTCTGCTACATAAAAACATCAATTGGCCTAAAAACCTCGAATCTGTTAGTTTCATTGTATAAATAGTACTCCCTCTGTTCCAGTTTATGTGAATCTATTTCCTTTTTGGTCCGTTCCAAAAACAATGAACCCTTTCTAAACTTGGTAACAATTTAGCTTAAACTTATAATTCTACCCTTAATGAGAAGCTTTTACAACCACACAAATACTCTGGGCCCCTTTTTGAGTTGTTTAGGGCCATAAATTTCAAAAGTCTTCATTTTTTCTTAAACTCCATGCCCAGTCAAACAGGTTCACATAAATTGGAACGGAGGGAGTAGTAAATAACCCTAATCCCATATGTATTAGGAGTAGGACATGTATTGTATATATAGGGCTAATTGTATCATTGTCAATATAAATCAATAATATATTTTCTCCCGTGCTTTCTCACATGGTATCAGAGCTATCGTGAGAGATTTATCGCTGTGCATAAATTCTAGCGATTCCGGGAAGAGAAATCAGTCACCGGAACCCTTTTTTCCGGCGACTTTTCAAAGTTGTTTTGCGTCTGCTTTGTCTCGGTTAGTGTTGTGCAAAATCCAGCACTACCAAAAGACTCGCCGTTGTCCGGCGACCAAACCCCAGAAAAATCTCCGGCAACAGCAGCCTCACGCGCGTGAGCTCACGCGCCGGCGCGTGGACCTCCTTCCGGTCAGTCTCTGATGAAACTCCTTTTGGACAGCCTTCTCAGGACATTATTCCGAGCCTACCCATCAAGTTTACATCAGATTCGATCACTTTCAACTTTTCCGCAGCTACAGTGATTTTTCCGGCTGTTACAGTGATTTTTCCGGCAACTACAGTGATCCCCAGAAAATTTCTGCTTTTTTCCGGCACGATATTATAATGGCATTCGTATCGGAAGCTTTTAACTCACAATCCGTTGGATCTAACGTATTGAATTCCATCCAAATGGTTTCTTTACCGGACTATATTGAGTTCCTTCAGTACAAAGCACGTAAACAGACATCTTCAGGATTAGCCTCCGTTGTTCCAACAAATAGTAGCATGACTGGTGTCTCCCAATCTTCACCTTCTGAGTCTTGGGTCATTGATTCAGGTGCATCTAATTATATTTCTGGTAACAAATCTGTTTTCACTAGTATCTCATATTCTCAATCTCTTCCAACAATCGCAATGGCCAATGGGTCTCAAGCCATGGCAACTGCAATAGGTCAAGCAAGTCCAATTCCTTCCTTACCTTTAGACTCAGTTCTTTATGTTCCTGGTAGTCCTTTTAATCTCATAGCCGTTAGTCGCTTAGCCAAATCACTTAAATCTGCTGTTTTATTTCTTGATGACCTTGTTTTTATACAGGAACACAGTACAGGGCGGATCATTGGTACCGGATGTGAATCAGATGGACTTTATTACCTTATCCTTGCAAAATCACATGGACTCGCATCTTGTCTTTCTCCAATAACTTGTCCCATTACTGATTCACCAAATTTATTACATAAACGGTTAGGACATCCTAGTTTGTCAAAACTTCATAAAATGGTACCTGGCTTATCTCACCTGTCCACTCTAGAGTGTGAGTCGTGTCAGCTCGGTAAGCATACCCGCTCCCATTTCCCGCGGCGTCTTGATAATCGAGCAGAGTCACCTTTTACTTTAGTCCATTGAGATGTTTGGGGTCCTAGTCGGGTTAGTTCTACCTTAGGATTCCGCTACTTTGTCAGTTTCATTGATGATTATTCTAGGTGTACTTGGATATTTTTGATGAAAAACCGATCTGAGTTGTTTTCTATTTTCCAGACCTTCCACGCTGAAATTCAAAATCAATTTGGGGTTTCTATCCGCACATTTCGTTATGATAATGCCCTAGAGTATTTGTCTTCCCCATTTTAGCAGTTTATGAACTCCTATGGGATTATTCATCAAACATCTTGTCCGTACATATCCCAACAAAATGGGGTAGCTAGTAGAAAGAATAGACATCTTATTGAAACTGCTCGTACCCTACTCATACAATCTCAAGTTCCGGTGCGTTTTTGGGGGGATGCAGTTCTTACATCTTGTTATCTTATTAATCGTATGCCATCTTCAGCTATCCAAAATCATGTTCCATTCTCTGTCCTGTTTCCCCACTTACCTTTGTTCTCTCTTCCTCCCCGTGTCTTTAGGAGTACGTGCTTTGTTCATGACCTTACTCCAAGAAAAGATAAGTTAGCTCTTCGTGCTCTTAAGTGCATATTTCTGGGTTATTCGGGAAAGCAAAAGGGATATCGATGTTATTCTCCTGACCTTCAGCGATTTCTTATGTCTGCTGATGTTACCTTCTTTGAAACCCAATCATACTTCACAGGTCCAGTTAATCACTTAGATATTTCTGAGGTGCTACCCGTTCCTTCTTTTGGAGATTCAGTCCCTATCTCCCATACATCTTCCTCCATAGATCCACCGCCTACAGTTCCAGTTGCAGCTCCACCACCTATAGCTCCAGTGAAACCACCGAGTCCAGTGCCACCACCTAGTCCAATTCCACCAACTCTAGCTCCAGTGCCACCACCTAGTCGAGTTCAACCTTCTACAGCTCCACCACTCCTGACTTATCATCGTCGTCCGCCCCCAGCATCAGGCCCAGCTGATTCACGTCCTGCACCTGACCCTGCTAATACTGCGGACTTGTCTCCTCTTAATCAACCGATTGCACTACGAAAAGGTATACGGTCCACAGTTAATCCTAATCCTCATTATATCGGTTTAAGTTACCATCGTCTCTCATCATCCCATTGTGCATTTGTGTCATCTTTGTCCTCTGTTTCCATTCCTAAGTCTACAGGTGAAGCACTGTCTCATCCCGGATGGCGACAGGCTATGATTGACGAGATGTCTGCTTTACATACGAGTGGTACTTGGGAGCTTGTTCCTCTTCCTTCAGGTAAATCGACTGTTGGTTGTCGTTTGGTGTATGCAGTCAAAGTTGGTCCAGATGGCCAGGTTGATCGACTTAAGGCTCGTCTTGTTGCCAAAGGATATACTCAGATATTTGGACTTGATTACAGTGATACTTTCTCTCCCGTGGCTAAAATTGCATCAGTCCGCCTTTTTCTATCCATGGCTGCTGTTCGCCATTGGCCTCTCTATCAGTTGGACATTAAGAATGCTTTTCTTCACGGTGACCTTGAGGATGAGGTTTATATGGAGCAACCACCTGGTTTTGTTGCTCAGGGGGAGTCTAGTGGCCTTGAATGTCGGTTGCGCCGGTCCCTCTCTGGTCTAAAGCAGTCTCCTCGAGCCTGGTTTGGTAAGTTCAGCACAGTTATTCAGGAGTTTGGCATGACTCGTAGTGAAGCTGATCACTCTGTATTTTATCGACATTCTGCTTCAAATCTCTGTATTTATCTGGTCGTTTATGTTGGCGATATTGTTATTACCGGCAATGATCAGGATGGTATTAGTAAGTTGAAGCAACATTTCTTTCAGCACTTTCAGACTAAGGATCTGGGCAGATTAAAGTATTTTCTGGGTATTGAGGTCGCTCAGTCTAGCTCAGGTATTGTGATCTCACAACGGAAGTATGCCTTAGATATTCTTGATGAGACAGGAATGACAGGTTGTAGACCTGTTGACACTCCGATGGATCCGAATTCTAAACTTCTGCCAGGACAGGGGGAGCCTCTTAGCGATCCTGCAAGATATAGGCGGTTGGTTGGTAAATTACCTCACAGTGACTAGACCTGACATTTCCTTTCCTGTGAGTGTTGTGAGTCAGTTTATGGATTCTCCCTGTGATAGTCATTGGGATGCAGTTGTCCGCATTCTTCGGTATATAAAATCAGCTCCAGGCAAAGGCTTATTGTTTGAGGATCGAGGCCATGAGCAGATCGTTGGATACTCAGATGCTGATTGGGGAGGATCACCTTCTGATAGACGTTCTACGTCTGGATATTGTGTCTTAGTAGGAGAAAATTTGGTGTCTTGGAAGAGCAAGAAACAGAATGTGGTTGCTCGGTCTAGTGCAGAAGCAGAATATCGAGCAATGGCTATGGCCACATGTGAGCTAATTTGGATCAAACAGTTACTCAAGGAGTTGAAATTTGGTGAGATTAGTCAGATGGGACTTGTGTGTGATAATCAAGCTGCTCTTCATATTGCGTCAAATCCAGTGTTCCATGAGAGAACTAAACACATCGAGATTGACTGTCACGTTGTTAGAGAAAAGATACTCTCAGGAGATATTGCTACAAAATTTGTGAAGCTCACTGGTCCTCGTATTAGTTATATATGTAACAAGCTCGGTACATATGATTTATATGCACCAGTTTGAGGGGGAGTGTTAGTTTCACTGTATAAATAGTAGTAAATAACCGTAATCCCATATGTATTAGGAGTAGGACATGTATTGTATATATAGGGCTAATTGTATCATTGTCAATATAAATCAATAATATATTTTCTCCCGTGCTTTCTCACAGAATCAATTCTAAAAATCCTCTTAAGTGGTTTATAGGTTTACTTTATGCACACAACTCTATTACACGGATGCAAATCCACATCTTTTTGATAATCTAATAATGCTTTCTGGCAGTTATACCATACAGCATCTTAGAGTAAGACTACCCGCTTCAGATCATTCACCATGAACAAGAATATCACACCTTTGCCATGTATGAGTGCAATTTATATGACTGTTACACAGAGATGCCATAATTCATAGCAGGAGCCTTAAACTTAACACTAACTTCGTACTGACAAGTATTCTAGCAAAGTGAATTATAACTGAACTCTGATTGTTCTCTACTTGCAGAAAAGAAAGCAATCTTTAGACTCAAGAACACTCACAAGCTTCTTTTCCTGCAGCTGGCTGAGAAATACATGCTGGTCCATTGCCCAAAAAACTACAATTTCTGCCTTTCCGAGGAGCCGTCTAACACTTGCATAAATGTCACAAAATTTCAGTAGTTGTTTGTACTTTGTATGACAGGACAGGAATCAATATCTGACAAATGAAGAAGATCCAGCAAGATCAAAAATATTTTTGGCTCAGAAGAGTTACTCATTATTCAAATGCTCCTGCGTAATAAGGCGAACAATTTGCATTGTTTGGGGCCAATCCGCAGCAAGCCTGATCAAAGAAAAAAATCAATTCGAAGTGTTAATGAAGTATAATACTTTGAAAGATTTAAGGTGCAATTAAGTCATAGCGATAGACAAAGAGGAAGAAAAAGGTGAATTTCCTTATAAGCCAAGAAAATTAAGCTTATCTAGTTGACATGACGGAATCTGGTAAATGGACCTTGGGCCTAACTCAACCCCAAAAGCTAGCTCAAGAGGAGAGGATTACCCAAGCCATATTAAAGAAACCACTTATCCCTTAAATCACCGATGTGGGACTTCTTCACACACACACCCCTCACGCTCAGGGGCTGAATATCTGGAACGTGGGTTAATACGGGGGGCCAACATCGGGTTGGAATGGGTCCTGCTCTGATATCATGTTAAATGGACCTAACTCAACTCCAAAATCTAGCTCAAAAGGTGAGGATTTCTCAAGCCATATAAAAGAGACTACCCATCCATTAAACCACCGGTTTGGAACGTCTTCACAGAATCCATGCAGACTTGACAAAAAATACGGCACAATGGAAGAAAAGATCTATATAGGCGATATCAATTAGTTGGAAATATGTACTAGTCATATTAGTAAGTTTACTTTAGGTCCTATGCTTTCTAGGGGTCCTTTAGTCATGAAAAAATATTTATATACCAGTAGAAAATGTAGAGAAATACAATTACTTTTTATTTCTATTTTTATTTTTGTAATATTAGCCTGAGATGAGTTTAAATGGAGCGACATAGTCATATAGCCGACCCCAATAGAGTGTGGGATTAATGTATATATAGTTGGCATCATCTACTACAGCTACATAAAAGAGAAGCAGTAATGAGATCATCTTAACAGTAGTCTTTCATGCAACTAAGCTGCAGAAATAGAACTTTACAGAAAATAGTTTATCATCTTGAACCCCATGTTATTTGAAAGATTTTCAACAATTTGTTTCAGATAAAGCCTCTAACTGAAAACTAAAGTATCAGGGACCTTTCACGCCTTAGTAAGCTGCAAAGCAAATATAATGCAGGTTGGAGAATATAAAGATTTTAGTTAAAGGAACAAGTCAGATGCTTAAAGATTTCAGTAAAAAGAATTGTTCACAAGCTTTGCGAGTGATGATGCTAGAAAATGATAAGAAAACTAGTATATCTGCCACATTCATATTTCTTTAGACAGTTAAAGATCGGTACTCGCTTTCATCTTTTCATCTAACCCCAAGAGAATCTCCAGGAAGGTGTGTATCAAGCAACTCCCTTTTCTCGGTTGCTTGCCTTTTCTCTGTTGCTCTACCTTCACTTTGACCAATAACTTTATAATACATTAGGCCACTACTAAAAGTTTCTGACAATATCATATCTTCTCATACTTGATACACACCTTTTGGAATAGTTGAAGTTGTGTATTGGAGTCAGACTCTTGCAGGGCAGATGCAGTGAACATGCATTGAACGCATAGCTGACACGTTTTTATTTCCCATAATCTTTGAGTTTTAGACACCGTCCTACATTTTGGACATGAGTGCCTTATATGTCGACACCATGTTTTGTCTACTGCCATATACTGGTTCATGTTTTCTTCTTCTTCGTCTTCCTCTTTCTATCCCTCTTCCCCTTCACTACTTTATCCCCCGGTTCAAATTGGTCTACAGCAATGCTTCTGAGTTCAGTTTCTTGTTTGTTGCTTCACGCTGCGTCCCTCAGATTTTGGAAATTTTTCCTCCGCATTAGAACTACTTAGCGCACCTTATCCCCACAATTTTAAGAACTTTGTATCTTTTTCTCGTACCACTTATCCAATTTGATGCCTTTTCCTATCCATGCTACACAATACCATGTTTCTTATTATCTCATTTATTTGGATTCACATTTTTCCGAGAGGATACTATTGTGGTCTTCAGCTTTTAAAATACGCCAGGATGTATGCATGGTGCAATAAAGATCTGAGTTAGAAATAGAAATTAAAATCTGTCCATGATAAATATGCAGAGGGACATATAAACTTTTTCCATTTCATTCCTAAAAGAGGAAACTGGATGAGCTCCAGTAAAAGAATTTTATGAAGGATCACCAGACTAAGGTCACCCATCTCTCTCCAAGTAGCAAGTTCTTGAAACTTAACAATGAGGTCTTTAGTCTTTTCACTGATCTTCAATTGCTGCTGTTGCAAGAACTTGAGAAGGGCATCACAAAAATGAAATTATTTTTGAATCCTAAACATCAGTTCATTAGGCTTAAGATATGAATGTTGTAAAGTGTAAGTATCTTAGTGTAAGTATCTTGAACGCTGAAAATAGTGGTGGTGTGCTAAAACCATCTAACCTTGAGAAACAATGATATACTCTCCTATGCATGCGGAGAAAGAATTTAGTAGCTTCACTCAAAAGAGAGGTAACTACCACTGTGATCAACTTGAATTGCAAAAGAGCAGTTAAATCAAAGCATTAATGAAAATGTACTTACGATTTAGAAGCTGAAGCAATCCTGAACCCCTGCCACAAGAGAGAATAAACCGCAAGATCTTACTCAATCAGCAAAGAATCAAATATCATTTTAGAGCATGAAAAAGGAATTACAATTTTTTTTTTTTGATAAATGACAAATTCCCAAGGGCCATTGGCACACGGTTCGAAACTTGGTACATAATAGGCCATCCTCTATACCTTCTCCCCTTAAATACAAGGGTATTGTCCACGACAAGGTTCGACCACGTGACGTGCCTCTAATCCACACATAACACGTTGCGCTCTTACCGTTAGACCAAAGCTCGAAGGGGGGGAGGGGGGGGGAGAGTTAGGAATTACAAAACAGACTAATTTATCTATCGAATGAAAATTGGAGCGCCATCCCTTGGCCATTAACACCTGATAATGAAACTATTAAAAGGACCTAATTTCTGATAACAAGTTCCCACGCACCTGGAGTCTGGTAATAAGTACAGGTTCGCCCTGTCTCTGCCCCGATAAGTCTCCCTGCAACATTTTCATCATAAAGTTAGCAGTGGTTCATCAATATAATCTCAAAATGCAGCTGCATGTAGTTAATCTCTAAGGAAAATGATTGGAATAATGTAACCCTGTGGATGACTGAAATGGTTTACCAAAATAATCAAGTTCATTTTAAAAACATACACAGAAAAATAGAACTGTATGTACTGACAATAAGGACCCCATTTATCAACATTGTCAATTACTTGAATGCATGCAATTCCTAAGGAAATCACCACACTAAACACATTCGGATGTTTACTACATAGTTAATTCACAAAACTTTGGTTATGGTTCAAGTAAATAAAATTGCAGAAACATCATATCTCAGTACTCTTCCAAATTGTCAAGGAAGATTAGAATAAACGTAGAAGAGCAAAGAAATGCAGGGTAAGACTGTGTACGATAGACCCTTGTGGCCTGGCCCTTCCCCGGACCCCGTGCATAGCGGGAGCTTAGTGCACCGGGCTGCCCCAGTAGTAGAAGAGCAAAGAAAGCACTATATTTTAATAGAAAGAGCGAGACACCTAGTTGACGTCTCACTATTGCCCTTCTCATCAAAATGCATTATCTCTGGTTTAACAAAGAAAAAATATGGATTGAAGTGCTAAAAGCCTATTAATCATGTTCTGCTCACAATGAATCAACCTGCTACACCTTACCATCTTAAGATGTCATGTTAACTACTTTGTTTTGAGTGTCATCTGATAAAGTATTTGAAAAATTCAATCATATTTTATGAGAAAAATTCAGTAGTCATCCAGTATATTTAAGCTTAAGCATCATTCAACAATCTAATCTTGCAACTATATGTTATAACAAATACTCATCTAGTCAGTTCATCTTTAACTATTGTTCATTATTTTACCCCATGGATTTGGAAGCATAATATTACATGTTGCATGTCAAGCCCCTTCCCTCCCTCTCGGTGTGCCATCCTCTGATTTCTCAGTTTCAGTTTTCTGCTAGCTTATACTGTTCATATTAGTATGGAGCTGAGTGTTGGCTCGTCAAGAAGTCCCATGGCCAAAAGATGAAAGTAGCTGAAATGAGAATGTTGAGATGGATGTGCGGGCATACTAGGAAAGACAGGATTAGGAATGAAGTTATTAGGGACAAGGTAGGAGCGGCATCTGTGGAGGACAAGTTGCGGGAATCGAGGCTGAGATGGTTCGGGCATGTGAAGAGGAGAGACATAGATGCTCTGGTGAGGAGGTGTGAGAGGTTGTCCATGGCGAGTCCGAGGAGGGGAAGTAGTAGGCCTAAGAAGTATTGGGAAGAGCTAATTAGGCAGGACATGTCATTGCTTCAGCTTAACGAGGATATGACCCACGATAGGAAGGTGTGGAGGTTGAGAATTAGGGTTGTAGGTTGACAGATAGTAGTGCGTTCCTCCTAGGCCATTCAGTAGTACTAGGACTATTTTTGTAATTTCCTATTTATGGTTCTTTATTATGCATGTTGTGGCATTCACGCCCGTTACCATGTTATATTGTTGCTAATATGCTTTGCTACTTGGTTGATTTATCTTCATTGTTCCTTGAACCGGGGGTCTATTGGAAACAAGCTCTCTATCTCTATGAGGTAGGGGTAAGGTCTGAGTACACACTACCCTCCTCAGACTCCATTTATGGGATCAAACAGGGTTTGTTGTTGTTGTTATACTGTTCATATTCCTAATATAAACTTATGACACGAGTCACCAAAGAAAGCAACAAAATGACTAAGAACTGGAACACATTACTGAATTTAGTTGAACTCGGACAACAATAACAATATATCCAAAACCCCACTAGTAGGGTCCGGGAGGGTAGAGTGTACGCAGACCTTACCCCTACCCGGGAAGGGTAGAGAGGTTGTTTCCGAGATTAGTTGAACTCGGACACATTTCAAATTTGTTTAATTTATTTACTAGATTTTAGACTCACACTAAAACATCAATTCACACTTTACAAGCACAATTTCTCCGGATATTGATGGATGAACACGAATGTGATATGTTCGCGACAGGTATCTAGAAAATGGAGCAAGAAATTTGCAGTTGATTGCAACCTTCAAAGTGATTTCAGAAAGCTCCTTAAAAGGATTCCTTCAGTGGTTATCATACATATGTTTGTCTAATCACCGCGAGAAGAAAAAATGACCACAAGATTGTTCTTTAGGAGCAACCAATGTAGAATCGTCAGAAGAGATTGTAGCGCTAATCAATCTATGGATCAGACACAACATATGGGGTTAGCTTATGGAGATCTATCAGAACACTTTGGCCTGCAGTGAAGAGCCAATCTTATGTCAGAGTGAAAAATGGTACCAAAACCTTCTTCTGGAAGGATAATTGGTTGGGATCTGGAAGCTTGATGGAACTATTCCCTGATATGTATGGCCTAGCTCAACACAAACAAAAGACAATTGCTGAAATGTGGACTCCTCAAGGTTGGGATCTAATACTTAGAAGAAGGCTGAATGACTGGGAACTAAGTAGACTGACTGAGCTCTACAAGCAACTAGAAGTATTCAAAGGCCTACAGAATGGAAGGGATGCTTTTTGGTGGAAGGGCCACAACAGTGGCATATATAAGGTGAATAAAGCATACAAGATGTTTAATCATACAAACATACAGATCACTAATTGGCCATGGAAACATATTTGGAAAGTCAAGATACCTTACAAAGTATCTTGCTTCACTTGGTTACTTGCAAAGGAGGCAGTTCTGACACAGGACAATCTTATGAAGAGGGGGATCCCACTGTGCTCTAGGTGCTTTTTATGTGGGGAAACAGCTGAGACAATTAGCCATCTATTTCTACATTGCAGGATCACAGATCAACTATGGAAGATATTTATTAATCTCAGAGGTTTCGCATGGACAATGCCCTCTAAGATTACTGAAGTGCTCACTAGTTGGGATGAAGCTGGAACTAGAGCTGGTAGCAGAGATAGATGGAGGACTGTCCCAGCATGTATATGGTGGACAATCTGGAAAGAGAGGAACTCTAGATGTTTTGAGGACAGCAGCAATTCAGTGCAGAAGATCAAAATGAATTGTGTCCTACTTTTTCATTTTTGGTGTAAACAAAAGTGGCCAGAAGATACTGTATCAATCCTAGAAGCTCTAGAATACTGCTAGGACAGTAGCTCAGTAGCCTCCCTTTTTTTGTTTTCTTGTAAATATGGTTTCAGTACAATCTATGTACTGTTATATAAATATACACAAATGTTACCTTCTCAAAAAAATCTATGGATCAGACACTTCTTGACTCTTAAATCAAGGTATCAACTGACAGCACAAAAACTCCAAGACATCTTTTTGATAATGTAGTACAAAAACTTCATGCACAAAAACTCTTTAAAATTGTTCAAATTTAAAATCCTATTTATCTGTCGTGTAGACAGTGAAAACTTTAATAGAGATTTTCTTATGGAACATAGAGTCTGCCTTCCATCTTCAGCTCTTTCTACTTATTAGTTGGCCTTACCTCCCAGACTTTGACATAGTTTGATTGAGCTGATGACAATGTAGCAGATGTTTGCTGCTGAGACAGAGGTATGTTAGCTTCTGTACTGTTATTCCTGCCAAGAGGCTGCATTCCAGGGTGTCTTGGTTGAATCATCCTTGGAGTAGACATCAGTGTGCCAGTTCCAAAAGGCATACCAGCACCTGTACCACTCAGCACATTCTGGTGCATGACTGCACTAACACCTCCTTGGATATTACTCAAAAGTTGGGACACGCATAGGTTTGAATTTCCAGACATACTGGGAGCAATCGAAACGGATGATGCAGAAACAGAGTTTTGAGCTATCTGACCAGTTCCTGCTAATGGCACTAACCCAGACAGTGAAGTGACAGCTAGTTGCCCAGATGATAAAACAGTTGGAGCAGCAGGTGTAGAAGAAGATATTCCACCAGGTATCATGTTTGATAGAATAGGTGTCCCACCCATAGACTGCAGTCCTATAGAAGTTCCCCCAACAAGTGCCTGGGCTTGAGCAACATCATTCAGTATTCTGGCATTTGCAGCTGCACCACTAAATGAACGTAAGGGTTGTGTCATCCCACTGAGAATAGGTTTTGTTTCATTAACAATCTCATTATTTGGGACCACCTCCTCAGAAACAGAAATAGGTGAAGCACTTTGCAAGCTTGCAACCAGTTGAGAAGTAGGACGAGCAGTAGGAATATGTGGAAGAGCAGGTCCAGTAACGGAGGTTACAGTGGTGGGCTCCTGAAAACATATGTAATAAGATCATGACATCCACAATTCTCTATGGTGTTTTAGCAAAGCAAATACTCCATCCAAAGGACAAGCAAGAAAACAAGTTATTGAATCTTACCATGTTTACGGTTGCAGCGGGAATATTTCCAGCTGAAATTGGTTGTTGACTCATAACTGAAAGGTACATAGAAAAAAGTCAGAGCTTTCAACAAAAAGTGAATCGCCAATATATTATAGGATGCTCTACCATGAGATTTATGAGCCAACGACTATCAACATTGAAGTAGTCTACATATGTTAAGAAAGAGATTCATTATTTTTAACTAACCATTAACTTGAAGTGAAATATAAGACGGTAATCAAGCAGACGCAACTCAACCCAACTTCAGAAAAAGACAATAATAGATGAGTTAGAAGCAAAAAGGCCTGCCTGCTTTTATGCCTCAAACAATTTTGACAAGGGGGGTGGACACATAGTAGGCACAAATTAGCAACAGAGAAAATCCAGTTGATCAGTTAAGCACCAGTCATCTATCCAACAGGTCTAGCTCAGCAATTGAAACAAATTAATCAGCACCAGCATAAGGAAGAACAAAATGGAGAGAGCAGAGTGAAAGAATTCACATGTATCCTGAATTTTGATGGTTCACTGTCATCGTAATCACTATCATTATCATTGGTGTTATTGCTTCTACTATAAAGTACAAACACTACTTTTAATACTATTATTACTATCATTTGGTTTTTCTTTTTTCTGGATTCAATCAAGAGCAATGAAAAGTTTCAAGATGTTACACTCAAATTTTATTAGGCTAGTAAACGTCTTCCAGATATGTGAGATATACTGTGGTATTGCTGACTTCACTACAGTGTCAAATGGTTTATCTATCTCACAGATCACTCAAACCCAACTTGCATAGAAGTGCAGCACTTTGCGTCAACTGCGCCCTTTCATTTTATGCATTCAATTATTGACTTATCCTCTTAGGGTACTTCTCACTTTATGTTCACGAAATATTCTTCTTTCAACAGAGAAGGACATCCAAAATGAATCAAGCATATCTACAGATTTAAGGTAGCAATATATGGGGCAAGCATTCATACAACACATGCATATAAGAGAGAGTTCCAGATTTTGCCTGAACCTGCTGGATCAAAAGTTGCTGCTGGCGCAGAAACTGGAGCTACAGAAGACATATCCATTTCGACCAGGATCTGGTTTAGCGCCGAAATTTCTATTCCAGTGCGATTGAAAGCAGCACAAGCCTCGATGAAATTTTCCGAAATTAAGACAAGAAAGTTTGGATTCTTAGATGTATCAATGGGCGGGTCAGCTGCTTGTGGGTCACGTTTTCCCTAGATCAATATAAATTTGCACTTAGTATAGTCAATTAAATGAGAAGGGGAATATGTTTCGCATTTCAAATCACCAGCAGTAAAACTATGCCAGGTTAGATTGCATGCCAAGTCAGCAGCATTTATAATTCATTCTTCAGAATGATTAAAGGATCTAAAGTCAGAAACCATGACTTAGTATGTCAAGTAGTATGGGGAATCAAGATAACTAAAGAGAAAGCAATAACTTATCCACAATGCCACACTTCCCCATGATGAAGCTAGAACTTTCTCCACTCCTATGGGATATTTCACATTCTCAGTTTTGGGATTCTAAAGGGAAGCGTCATTCTCTCAACGGTGACAGCTTTAAATGGGCAACAATGTTTACAGGAATCTACTTTCTGGAGCACTTGGTAAATATTACCTGTGATAAACAAGCACAATGAGTTTGAAATAACTGGGACTAGAGATTTCACATGGGTTGTCTTTTTTATTCAAGACAAAGCAATAACGAGTGATAATGTCGTGTAGCCTATCGAATTCAGATTCGCTATTCTCTATCTGAATCCATAGTTTTGAGCTATTGGAATGCTCCTGATGGTTTAAGCACCCAGAAAGGAAAGAGCTTAAAAAGGGAGTTCCTCTAACAGCATTCCGTACAACTTAAACTATGTGCACTTATCGAACAAAATATATATATATATATATATATATATATATATATATATATATATATATAGTATCATCAGTTTACTGCCTGTATCCTCAACATAGAACTATTGTAAATGGGTCTCAAATTTAGAAGCTTTTCAATTCAACAGAGGGTGACACAATTAATCCTACAGGTGTTTGAACCGATATGCAACAGTAATAACTGTGGATCACAAACTAAGACGAGCTAAACTTCAACATATTGTCAAGGTTGTGACCCTAAAAACAAGTGAAAAAACTCAATGAAAAATTGTCCATAATTACCGCATTATATATTGCTCTTAATTTCGGAAGCTGCTTTGGGCATATAACTGAGAGGGAAACAGAGCACTGCAAGAAAATAAAAACAATAAGCACAGGATTATGAGGGAAGCACCATGGTTTTGAAGAGGAAAGACCATCAGTACGACAGTACCTGAGGAAATGCCTTTGCAACTGTCTCAGCATCAGATAGTCGATTACCGGTATGTGCTTCAATGTTTCCACTCTGCTCCACATTCTGCATATGTGGATGATAAACTGGTGTAGGCAATGGATAAGGGTTACTTGCAGCAATAAGTATGCAATGTCTTTGCCCATCCACATTTTGTTGAGTTTGGCTTCCATTGAGTGAAGAAAACATCTGCATGAAACATCAGTCAAGTGAAATATTTATATACATGCAGCATGAGGAAGAAACACATTTGTGTTCTGCAGAGAAAGGCTATGTATGTGGAATAGAAGCAATTCAGTTTACATTGTGATCTGACATAGACCAAAGTTCTGTCCACTACATAATCAATTCCTCTAAATTTAGACCAACAAACCAGATTCTAGACCAACTCAAAAACACAAAACAGCACAATGGTGTTTCTGTTTCAAAATGAGAAGCATTGCGACTTGTTGGCTTTGACCCAAAGCCAACCCCTCTTTACTCTTCAACCCACAGAGAACTCTCTAAAAAGGAAAAGGAAGCACACATGGCCAAGCGCGTAATAGAAAGTAAAACAGTAAGATATGTATAAATAATACCAAGCAAAACAAAACTACACTCACAATACCACTTTGAGACAGAAATGCCAAACTCGTATTCAAAACATCCTAAACAGTAAAACACACCGTTAATGCCTCTGCAAGGCTTTCTGCAACTGCAGCATCATTGAAACCACCACCTGAGAAAGGTATAGCTGATAGCCATTGGGAAAACATATTTATGTCTCTTGTCCATCCACTTCGTCGAACCAGGCAAGCTGTGTTAAAGATGGTGAAAATGGAAGATGAAAAAGAAACGAAATGCCAACCAGAAAGAAAAAGAAAAAGATGTTTATTCTCACGCGAGAGGTGAAAGAAAGCCTCAAAACATGGAATTAGGACACATTATCCCCGTCAAATTTTAATGTTGCTCGGAGCAATCTTTTACTTTTGTTTTGGTTTGGAGGGTTCACGGGGTCTCACTGAATAGCAAGTTCTACATGAGATAGTGTTACAGCATCCGAAGAGATTTACACAAGAATGGAGCATGCTGCACCCATAACAAGCTGAAGGTTTCTACTTCAGAAACAAGAGTCTACTACTAAATTTGAGGGAATATAAATGAAAAAATCAATCTGGAAAAATTGAAAATTATTTAAGTAAAAATTTAGGATTTACTGCACCAACTACAAGGGAGTATTTGTCTACTTCATGTCTTGAACAGAAAGATTTGGCTCATGAGCAATAGAGAACTGGAACAACTTTCAAGTCATGGATGGCTTATGAGAATCACACAGAATTTAACAGTTCTTCGGTTGCATATAAAGATTTTGACATGTGGAAATCATATACTGAAATACTTCACCAAATTATGGAGTACACAAGGATCACAGAAGAAAATGGTCCTAATAACGGTGGAGTGATGATGTACAGAACAGCCCATAAAAGGGCCCTAACAGATTGTTTGGCATTTGGACATAAAACAATGTGAGATTTGAAAAGAAAAAAAAGTAGTTTTTGAAGTTAAGTTGAAAAAGGGTATTTGAAAATTGAATTTATTTGGAGATGAGTTTCAGAAAAAAGGAAAAAAAAAAATTATAGACAAACAGGTCTCATGGTTCTATGTGAATGGCACAACTACTGTTCATACTTAAGCTGAAATGGCCAATGGGTTAGCCAACATAATAAGGCAATGGAGAATAAAATGGACACAAACCACCATGGGATCCATGCACCGTGAAAACCACCATTGCGAGCTGCCAATTGCCAGCAGATGGCTTCTGGAATTTCAACAGAGGAAAGTAAAATCAGATAGCTAAAAGAATCACATGAGAAGTTAATAATTGCCTTCAGCTCATGAATGGAATATCATCTTCCCCTATTCAAGTATAGGGTGTCTCGGACATTACAATCACCATCATGCAATACTAAAGAAGAGTAAGGGGTTTACAAGATGAATCATATAAAATTTACGAACCTTTTCTATTGGCTCCAATTTAGTGAAGGACCTGAAAAAATTACCCAAGCCTATTAATCAAGTAAACATAATGTTTGAAAATACTAACACAGGTCATAAATTAGTTTACACTTTAAATCAAGATGTAGTTGCAATTATCATATGAATATTATTGGAACAATCCCATTCTCTTAATGGGATAAGCATATTAAAATTGAAGAGCTAATCAGTTAATCGCTCTATGCTAAAATCACTAAAGTGAAACAAAAGGAACCCTGGAGCCGGATTGACGGTAATTGTCAGCGTTCTACTCAACAACATGTTCTTATGTGTGGGTTGCTCCGTACATGACGAGAAATAAACTGATGTAAGTTTACGTGACCAATATCACCCTTCACAAGAACATTTGCAAAACAAAAAAAAGACGCATAAAAAGGACATAGAAACATCTCAAATAAGGAAAAGAATGTAATTGGGAGCTAATTGATACTACAACTAAAATACAACCGCCATAGAAGGTAAGGAAACAGGCCTGATTATATCTTTCAGGTAGTCTACAAGAATTTTAGGCCAATAAAATCCCAAAGCTGCTGTCCCTTCTACAACTACTATAAGTTGTTTGTTCACCATATTTTTCTCCTTGGAAGCCTGGTCCTCAGAGAGGGGAAATGAATATATGGCTCATGAGATGTATATGTCAACCTTGTAAACAAGGTTAAATAGAAAAAAACCTTCATGATAAACCCACATCATTCTGGCCAGAACATTTCCCATCTGGAAACATGTCAAAAGTTCCCATATAAAACTAGGAAAGGTGTTAAAACATCCAATCTTCTTCATCCAAATCTGTCCAAATTGACAAATTCGGAAGTGCATTTAAGACTCCCAGAAAGCTAATATCTAACTTTCAGATTTAAGATCAGCAATTATACTTCTCAAAGCTTGCAGTTCCCTTAGGAGTTGAATGCAGTAAGGCAAGTCAAATAATGGGGAATGACAGTCTAAGAAACTGGAGGTATCCATAAATTTATCGCTTCCTGACAAATGCAAATAGAATATGATACAGCATTTTACCTATAATCATTAAAAAATCATAAACTTGTTTTTGCAGTTTAACATAGTTATCTTCTTCTGACACCCTTCAACCCAATAAAGGAAAAATAAATAGAAAACACTGGTAGCCACGTACCATTTCTGCTACAAAAAGCCTGTCAGAAACTAATATAGCTGGATAGCCTCTTACATGAGCACATCACATTTTATCAATTATCGATATCCTCATACAATGATAGAATAATTAACCCTGTCTACTTATCTGTTCACTGAAATTACATGTTTCTCCATGAAGATCACACTCCTCCATCTTCACCACTACATGGGTGCGAATTGTCTCACTACAATCGACATGATACCACACCTTCTCAAGACTCGATTGAAAATGCAAGCAAAAAAGGTTAGGAAACAGGTCAGGATCCTGGCCTCAACTATGCAAGGATTCAATTTTTTACTAAAAGTGGAGGGCAGATCTGCCATCTAATAACCCCCCTTGAAAAAGCAATGTCTTCTCTGCCCTTAGGAATACTCCTGAGCTCTGAAAACTTCTATCCCCTTTCAGGGTTAAATTTTTATAAGGGCCTCTTTCTTTCATTCTTTTATCAAAGTTCAACTAGGTATTAAGGCTTTAACACCACCAATGTTAACTAGTGGAATTCCTCAAAAACTCAAATGCTATTTTAGACATAATCATCACAAATAGAGGTGTATCTCCGTGGAGACGTATCCTCTATTTTGCATCATAGCATGATATTTTTCTCTCTCATATGCCAATAATTTTTGTGAATAATCCGTCTCATTTTTTTTTTAAAATGAAATTCAAATCATACAGGTGCACTCTAGCATGCAACTATCTAATTGTTAGATATCGACTAATTAAATCAAATGTACAGTCAGGTGGCGTGCAAAACCCTTTCTGCGATATGCATATTACCAATTTGACTAAAATCAATCGTTAACACAACTCAATCCCAATAAAATACCATACCAGAACAGAAATAAGTTGCTTTGCATTGATAGCAATAAAATTAATGACGACATGAACTTCATTAATCAGTCAAGATGAAATGATCCACGCAAGCGTAGATCAGATGGATATGGGAGGGAGTTGTGGAATGAATGAGTACCGTATCATTTTGTCGAGGTAATCAGAAATGATTGTTTGCCAGAAAGGTCCCACGGCGGCAGTGCCTTCAACAGCAACGATTAGCTGTTTTTCCATCATGTGTGCTTTGCCAAAGATTCTGCAAATTGATTGCTGTTCTCCGCGCGAGGTTCTATTTACCAGGTCGCATACAGCTTAAGGAATGGGGGATGAAATTGAGAATGGAGGAAAGTTTATGGAATGAAGCTATTTACCTCGCTCTCACTTCCGCTTCTCAATTCTTCACTCTCTTTAATTCCCCTTTTTCGCTTTTGCCTATTTCCAATTGCGGCTCCAACTGACTTGCTTTTCTTTGTTTTATTAATAGCCTTTTTTCAGCTTCGAGCGCATTTTTACACCTTGTCTTTTAGTACATTTCATAAGGAGGCCTAATGGCCAAAGGTCACAATCCAAACAGTAATCTCAGGAATTCGAATTCCTCCAATTGAGTTTTCTCTCTTTCTCATTAATTATGTTGATATATTTTATATAGGTTTCTTTAATCCAGTTCAAATCGAACTTGGAATTAGAAGCCAAGAGGAAGCCCATGGATCACAAGGCTAAAGGTTAATTTAGTCAACAGAAATCAACAGATCGGAGAATTGATTGAGGCTGAGCAGTCTAAACGAGCAGCTTGAGATGATCAAAAGAATGGGCGACTACAGGAACGAGTCAGACCCAGATAATGAGGGCAAGTGACCGTCCACTGCCAGCTTTCCCAGTTTGTTGCATGGATGTACGAAGCACAACAACTAGGCATCCGACTAGAAAGCCCTTTAAACTGGCGCATCTGGTAATCATTCCATCATTGTCGCTTCCCACAAATGATCTAATCAATGTCAACTGACAATCCATCACCGAAATTAATATGAGTGCATGAGCACCTTGCACCCCGAGGAGGGTTACGACAAATTATAAAGCTGCCAAGGACCACCCAAACTGGCAAATCCAAAGACACCTAAGCAAACTGGACGGTCATATAAAGGACATCATCCCTCACAATATGGACACATTACACATGAGAAAAGAAGAGGGCACTCTATATAGAAAGAAAGAGGGCAATCTCGTTGCTGAGAACAAAACGTCAAAACCAGGCGGCAAACCATTTTCAGGTCTAACCAATCCCTTTTCAGAATGTCTTTCTCCCCTCTCCTCTTTCTTTTTCTCTCCTCAGTGTCTTATAACTAACTTCACGTGAAATGTTTCTTCTCCTGTTGCACTATCAGAAGCCAAACGAAGTATCTTTAAGCACATGCAATTTCAGGATATGAACTTTATAGGTTCAAGATGCTAAATTTAATTTTTATTCATATTTAATATATATTTTTAACACATATATAGGGCCTAAGTCAAAGCTATTGGGTTCGGCCGAACCCATAATTTCATTATTAAGCATTAACATCGGATGATATGGTCAAATATTTTAGCGTTATACCATATGAATCACTAAATCAACAAAAGTTGATTGTCAGCACAACTCGAATCAAATCACACAAAGTGGAATACATAATCCTACACATTGGAAACATAATTAAGCAAATTAACCAGTAACCTCTCTAGCAGCTTCAAGTTTTGGATCAGATGGTCACACAACTAAGCATTATATCATATGCATATTACTAAATCAACTAAAATTGACTGTCAACACAACTCAAATCAAATCACACAAGGTGGAATATACAATCCTATACATTGGAAACATAATTAAGTAAATTAAATAACAATCAATTAAAATTGACTCTCAAAACAACTCAATTCCAATAAAACACCAAATGGAAATAGGAATATGTTACATTGCATGGATATGAATAAAATTAATAACGAATCAACTTCATTATTCACACACACTAAATCAACTAATATTGACTCTCAAAAGTCAAAAAACAACTTAATTCCAATAAAAACACCAAACGGAAATAGTAATATGTTGCATTGCATGGATATGAGTAAAATTAATAACGAATCAACTTCGTTATTCACACAGACACTAATCAACTAAAATCTAATCTCCCAAAAAAAATTAAAAAAAAATAGTAGTAGTAATATGTTGCATTGCAGGGATATTAGTAACGAATCAACGTCATTATTCACACATACAAAAAAACAACTAAAACTGACTGTGAACAAAACTCAATTCCAATATAAACAACAAACAATAAATAGTAATATGTTGCACTGCAGGGATATTAGTAAAGTTAATAACAACTTCATTCTTCACACAAACAAAATCAACTAAAACTGACGGGCAACTGTCAACACAACTCAATTCCATTAAAAACACCAAACAATAAATAGTAATATGTTGCACTACAGGGATTTTAGTAAAGTTAATAACGAATAAACTTCATTCTTTACACACGCAATCAACTAAAACTGGCTGTCAACACAACTCAATTCCAATAAAAACACCAAACAATAAATAGTATACTATTTCGCATTACAAGGATATGAGTAAAATTAATAACGAATCAACTTCAGTATTTTCACACACACACACAGAGGAATTGCTGTGCATGAATGAGTACTGACTACTGTTTACCAGAAAGGTCCAATTGCGGTCAGCGTCTTCAACGGCAACAATCAGCTGCTTGACCGCCATGTGTGCTTTGTCGAAGATTCTCGAAACTGAGTAGCAGTTTCTTCGCTTGTTCGTTCTATTTAACTCCATAGCCTGATTTCTCCAACTTATTACCATGTTTGCTTTTCAAATTGCGCTCCCTTTTCCCCCTTTTTGCTTTGCTTAATTTCCATTGCTTAACGGGTAATAGCTTTTTTTCCATTTTATATATGAGAGTGTATTTATACTTTTTACGGAAATGGTCCAAATATGCCTATGTTGAATAATAAATTGATTTTATAACTCATTAATACTTTAGCTCATATATATGACTTTACCATCACATAAGTTGTCCATATATATCTTTTTTAAACAGAATCCACTCTTTCATTAATTATACTAAAATGCATTATAAACACTATTTTTTTTTATTAGTACTTTTTTTTTACCTTTCTCTTTTTTTTCTTTTCTTTTCTTTTTTTTACCTTTTTCTTTCTCCCATATCCGAGTTCCTCCACTGATGATGCCTTTTCGTCACCAATTTAACTTGACAAAACTCATTAATTCCTGCTAATTTTACTATCAAAAATACCACAGAATCTTCTGACCCGAAGGAGATGAAAATTGTCGGATAAATTTGTTTGATGGTGTTAATTGGGTGAAGGTAGAATATGGTTATTCAGATTTTGAAAGGCTTGTTCCCTTCAGATTTGAAACGACATGGTGAACAACACCTTCGAGATCTAAATAACCATATCCTACTTTCACCAAATTAACACCACCGAAAAAATTCCTTCGATAATTTTCATCTCCTTCTTTTGAGAAGAACTAGAGCCTTCTCGCTTGGAAGGTGTTGGTGGTGTAGGTTTGATTTTTAGGAATAAAATCACATGAAATTGGTGATGGAAATGGATAAGCATCGGCAAAAAGGAAATCGGAGGATATGGGAGAAAGAAAAAGAGAAAAAAATGAAGAAAAAAAAAAAGAGAAAGATAAAGAAAAAATAGTATTGATAAATAGGATATAGTGTTTGTAATACACTTTAATACAATTAAAGAAAGAGCTAACTAGTTTGCATGGATTCCGTTTCGAAAAGGGCATATATGGACCAACTATGTGACGGTAAGGGCATATATGGATCAATTATGTGACGCGCGGTAAGAGCATATATGGGCTAAAGTATTAACAAAGTTCAAATATGCTCAATTTCGTATAGTACAAGAGATATTTGGACCTTTTTTCGTACTTATTAATCCAAACGAGAATTGAACCGTTACATTATAGTCCTAAATGAAATTAACAACCATTTAATCAAAGATAATGTGCAACAGAAAAAATTTCCTTATGTGACCACTTACAATTAAAATAAATATAAATATTAAACTTTTAACGAGTTTTTATAATTTATTTATTTATTTATTCTATATCTTATTTACCTACATTTTATTTTCATATACAACTCATGCAATATATATATATATATAGCCAATTATTTTGAGTATAGCTATATAATGTCAATAGCATTACCTATGACAATTTCAGCAAATTAAACCACTAAGCCCATTCACTAAGATTTTGGAAAGCCCAGATCTCATAGACCATAAGGGTCCATTTAATTGGCAAATGGTATTCTTGCACAAATAATCAATCATATTTATTATTTATTTTTCTAGTCATATGCATAAATTATTATATTAATTATACAACTATACATATGTAATACATAAATTATGCATGTATATACTTTTATTCTCTATTTTTATTTTAAGTGGTTGGATGGGCGATTATTTGAATTAATTCTTCTTAGCAAAGTCCATAGTTCAAGTTTGAAATTTAGCAATCTTCATATATTAGTTTGTGTGGTGGTTTTTTTTTTCTTTTTCTTTTTCCTGGCTGTGTTTTATTTTTAACCTCTTATAACAATATAATGTAGAGAAAGGTGGTTTCTTTTTCTTTTTTTATTTCAAAATGTGTAACCCATCAATTGAAACACTATAATGTAAAGGGTTGGTGGTTTTAATATAATATATTTCTCGAGCAATTAAATTATCGTTTTTTAGTGCGAAAAAACTAACACTTGTCACAAAATTCAATGTCTATCACGAAAAAGAATGCATGTTATGTTAATGCCACAATCAACTATTAATGGAAAAGGGTTAGAGATGCATTATATTATAACTTTTAACTTGTTTGACCAAGCTTCTTTTTTATCAAAAGATTTAGTGACAAGAATGTATTTATATTCAATTAAGTATATATTGTGCCACCCTTTAATGCATGACATGTTTTTACGTATAATTTTGTTGTTAGTTATTTTCATCAAAAATTAAATTTTAATCTAAATATAATTGGAGATGTTCATTGTCACGCCCCGAACCTGGGCCTGGACGTAATACGATACTCGGTGCCTGACTACATGTGACCGAGCGAACCAACTGGCTGGTTGAATCAACATGTGATATCATAACATACTGAATTCGGAAGATAAACTAACACATGTTGATGTACTGAAAGTCTAAATGATATAAGTCAAATGCGGAGACACTAATATAGACCTGAAACATATATGTAGCAACATTGCTTAACCTTAAATGCCTGTTACTCTGTCAAACAATTACTCTAGTCTATGAAGCCTCTAATGAAGTACTAAAAACACTGACTGTCTAAAAATACTGAAGACTGTAAGGTAATGATAATGCCCCGAAAGAACTGGGGATCACCAAATAGCCGGTACGAGAATCCTAGCGCTCTGAATCGTCAACCTGTGAATTGCACGGGTATGTAAAGCAACTGAAAGAAAGAATTATAAATGCTAAAACTGAAACTAAAGTGATAACTGAAATGATAACTATTGAAACTGAAACTGAAATGATAACTAATAACTGATAATGATAGCTAATAATTGAACTGAACAAAGGAAGCAAGGATATGAATACTTCCTCTTCTGAATGATGAACAACCTGTTTATCTAAGTAAGTTGCGGCCTCGGGCCCAATAAATATGTGCACAAGCTACGACCTCAGACCCAAGTATACGTATATATAACTACGGCCTCATGCCCAAAAATGCATAAAGCATAAACTAGGGCCTCAGGCCCAAACATGCATAAAGCATAAACTGCGGCCTCAAGCCCAAGTATGCATAAAGCATATAAAGTACGGCATCAGGACTAAATACAGGTGTTCAACATTCAGGAATTGAGAATCATACTGAAATATATGATGCTGAAATACTGAACCATACTAAGTTACATGATACTTGAATGCTGAATAGAGCTCGACCGAGACATGTATTCATAAACTGATTATGAAAATTGAAACTTCAATTGTTTATGACATGGTGAGTACTCTAGATTAAGACTCATAGGGAGAATCATGAAAGTCTTCAACGAGTTACGAAGCTAGAGAATAGAAGTTTTGCAACTATTCAAGGAACTAGGCTTAACTATATTTCTGAGGCAATTAGTAACGTGGTAAAAGAAACATAGTGTAGGGAGAATCATTACCATTCCCAAACATAGAGAGTTAGCCTCACATAGCTTAACTTCCTGCTCTTGAGCGTAATATAATATATGTCAACCCTTTTGATCACGCCCAACTATGCCTTATAAAAAGGACAAAGCGGTCGCTGCAAATATAATCCGGCTTACATGTCCGGAGTCGAATCCCACAGAACTAAGGCTTAGATATACTTGTTCAGCATCGCTAAGAAACAAAAGTCCAAACAATTCTCTAATTATAAAGATTATAATATTTATTTTTATCTAATTAACTAACAAATCTAGAAAGCCATAAAACTATCAATTAACAAGGATAAGGATTGGAGTCAAGATTAAGGAGGTCTAGGGTTATGATTTCCCCAATTGTCGGAATCCTTCCCGCTACATTTTCTATAAATTCGCCTAAGTATTCTCTACCGATCATGAGCGCTCTAACTGTCGTAACTCTCTCCCGAGTAATTACCACAATTTACTAGACGCACTCTCCCGAGTTATGCTAGTTGGCTTTTGTTACAGCTCACTTAGATCGCACCCAAGGTTTCGTTATCCCTAATCCCACCTTTAAACCCTTGGTTATTGATTCTTCACATACGCCGGGAGTGATGTTTTTCAACAACTACCTAAATATGCACTCTCTCCCGAGTAATACATACTAAATAGCCACAGCTAATTGAGGTCCCTTCAATTAACCACAAGAATAATATAGTTGAACAAATAGAGAAAATATTACGGCTCAATTATACAAAAACATAACAAGAATTTATCCTACAAAAAGTTCCATCAAAACCCCAGATAACAAATTAGATATTTATAATAGTATGTAAAACTACAATACTAAAAGTCATAACCAACAATGAAAAATAGAAAGAGGAAGGAAAAACTCGTAGAAGAATTCCCCACCTTGCTCCTATTGTGTATCTGCCTCCTTAGGTCGAATATGTGTCAAAAATATGTCCAACACCTTAAAATACCGTCTTTCCATGTATATATTTCAAGTAGGGTCGGGACCAAACAATTATATCTTCTCCTATGCGAAAAAGGATAATATTTCACGTCTGGACTGCCGCGGTATATGGCAAGTATACCGCCTCAGCCCGCCTCAGGTCCGCGGTTTTCGACCGCGTTTTTCACCCTATTCCATTTGGAATTTGCAAAAATACAAATCATGAAAGTTGTATCCCTTTGAGTTAGCTTTCCAACCATATATTGTTTAGTCCAAATGGAGTTCTGAGCCAAAAGTTATGTACATTTTACTAGACAGTGCGCAATATGTCTACTCGATTCTTCGTTTTGTTGCTCTATCATCCGTTGATCCCCGAATATGATCCCGGCTTAATTCCTTGGGCTTTTACGCAGACTTCAAAGCTCTAAATCACTTGAATTTATTCCATAACATCTATATAGCTCGAAATCACTCCTACAAGGCATAAAACACACCGTTAGTGCAAAACACTAACGATTAAAGCGCAAACTCAACTAAAGTGCAGTAAATTTGAGTGTAATAAGCGACTAAAATACGTAATTATAGCCTATTATCACCTTTAAACTTTAATATATATCAATACAAGTCAAAAGGATTCCACATTAGCTATGATACTCGTGTTTTGATCACTTAAGTATTTTATCAAACACTTGGTGAGAATAAAGTTTCATAGTCCTTATTAATGGTGTTTATACACCCAATAACCCATTCTCGTGCTCCTAGATAAATTCTAGAGTCTCAAAAAGTTATAATCAACATCATTCTTCATCACCTATACGGTAAACAACACCCTTAATCAATAGTCAACAATCAACAACCCAAACCTATAATCCGTTCATGTTTTTCTATCAAACCCATCAACTCATAACTCATGAACAAGAGTGTATAATCATTAATCCAATGCTAGAATC